AGGGTTTTGTGTGTGTGTGTGTGTGTGTGTGTGTGTGTGTGTGTGTGTGTGTGTGTGTGTGTGTGTGTGTGTGTGTGTGTGTGTGTGTAATTTAGATATGCATATGGCTAAATAACAGTAAACTATCAAGCTCACCCTGAACAACTGAGAAAGGGGACAGAGTGGTTCACAGTAATTCCTCCTTTTCAAAGGGGGACCCAACAAATAGGGATCCACACATTTCAGCCCTAGGTCACCTCAGAGGCTGGAACGGGAGCCCTTTATGTTCCAACAGGCATACATGCTCCTTTAAAATGATAGTACGAAAAGGGATATATTGAGGAAAATAGTCCACAGATCACTACCCAGTATTGGTCATGTTTCACAAATTTCCCCCCTATCCAGATAAGTCCAAGTCTAGATCAAGCACATTATTACCCAAGAGCAGTAAACCATCCAGTTCCAGATAAGTTTAATGGAGGTGCTGGGATATGGCAGTGTTTGGGCTCATAATAGATGGGTACATTAGACTGCTAGGCGAATATAGGACACTTAGGAGTCTTGTGTATAAAAGCGCAGGATCTGAAATGTCACTCAAATTACCAATATGCTAGATCAATGAAAGGTACATTTCTGGTATAAATCAATTAGTACCTGTATAAAACACTCGCAAAGTCATCAAACAGCTGGTTATACCAGACAGTTGGTCACATCTACAGTTGTAGAGAAAACTCCCTTGGGTCCAGACTCTGCAGACTGAGTAATTGCTTGGCAACTGGGATCTACCCAGCAGATAAGGCTGTATAATGATGTACCATCAGGATAGGATCTGATCTACCTCTTTTGCAATGGGATCTTTAATTCCTCACAGATGGTTGATGTACCCCACCTCCAGAGTAAAATCCTTGAAACCCCTCTACCACAGGAACTGAGGCAATACACCTTGTTATAGAAGACCCAAGAAGGCTCAATGGAGATCTGCTAATCTTTGCAGTGACACAGGGAGGTGCGAAACCAGCTACCTGACCAAGGAGACAAATATCCTCCAATAAGAGGAACACCACAGAGATGAGGAGAGAAGTCTTTCAGTTGATTGGTAAACTAAGAGATCATGCCAGGAACTACCTGATCCTTAGAGGCAGACACAGAGAGGTGGTCTGTTCAGGAGGAAAACTCACAATAGCAAAGTAAGGGGCTTAGGAAGACCAAAAAGAAATGGTAGAGTGGGAAGTGTCTAGGAGATTGACGCTTGACACCTAATGAAGCTGCAAGTGTTGGGACTGGCAAGTCTCTGGTTGATGGTGAGGAACAAGAGAATCAACATGCTATGGACCCCTCTATCAAAGGGCCATCCTAGTTAACATCACTTACAGGTGATGGATGAAAAGTCAGAGAATAACCAACTCTGCTCTAAGCTGACCAAGATATCCCTCTAGAGAAGGCAATACCCCTGATGGTTACCAGGTACCACTGATGGCCCTACATGCCCCAATAAAAGAGCAGTAGTGTGAGGGAAAGGGTGGTGGCCTGGGTGAGACGCGAGATGGTGCAAGAACCACTTGACAAAAAGAGAGGATATGGAGAAATGAGGTATTTTAATGTGTGGTACATGGTTAGAGGATGAGCAGCTAAAGAGTTCCAAAGACAAGGGATTAGCCTTAGACTGTAAAGAGGCACTCTCTGCACCTAGATGCTGGGACGGCAAAATACCCAAGGACCCACAAGGATTAGCAAACTTCCTTTCTTCACACACTTGGAAAAGTATGGAGCACCTTCATGCTCAGGACTTCTATATGGACATAGCAGATTTCATGATTCCAGTCTTGCGGACTCCCAGAGAACCAGGCTTAGAAGGTCAGAGTGTGCTTACTTCAGGAGCAGGTAGAGGGGAAGGATGGGACTCAGATAACCTTTAATGAAACATCATGTACGGAGGCAGATGAACACTCCAACTTCTAGTGATATCCTTGATTATAACGTCAAGGGTAGGTCTGAAGAGATGGCATCGCTCGAAGACCACACAAGTAAAGTGGTCTTTGAATACAGCATCTGTTTGCACATCTGTATAGACAACAGACCCATGCAGGACACAAGTTTAGATGCTTCTAAGCAGGACGTGACAATGCAAATGTAAGGGTCCAGACTACTCCACATGCTATCAGGAGGGTGTCCACCGCAGCAGTGGAGATCGCTTTTGAGGGGTTTAACCTATTTCTGCTAAGGTTTGACAGATTAAGGTCACGGCCAGAATAGGGCACAGACTGTCAAAAAACAAACTGGGTGTTGAGGGATTTTAGCTCTTGGTCAGAAGAATCCTTAAAAGGTAAGAATGTTCCATAAACACCTAGTGTTTTTCCTGTTGGTAGTAGGAGGGGTTACTCTAGGCTGGCCTGCAGTTTTTGTTTGTCAGTGTCCAATCCTTCGGTAGGAGGCAGTACAACCCAAAAGGTGATTTACTTACTGCATCCTTCAATGGACGAGAAAAAAAGTTACTGGCAGGATCAGCCTTTGAATACATAGGAAAGAAAAGCCTAAAGAAAAATAACCAAATCACCTCATCTAAGGACGAGTTAGCGGAAACATGTTAAAATTACGCATGTAATGTGTGCCATTTTTGTATTTCAATCAAAATTAATAAAAGCATTAAAACAAAAAAACATCATAGAAGTTATACACGATCCTCACACTATCGAAAACTAAACATAAAAATGTGGCTGGAGTTGGCTTGTAAATCGCTTGCCTGGATGTCCAATATGTGTTTAAGCAAGTCAGCGAAAACAACAGGTACAATAGTGATTTAAGAGTCCGGTTTAATAATACTTTATATTTATTTACACGGAGCTATATATAAAAAGGAGAGAAAAAAATAAACACAATCCATCTGTGATCCTCATTGGGTGATGTATGCAATGAGAAATCCCAACGAGTAATTGTTTTAAAATTTCTACACGAGAAAATGACACGGTTGCTGTTCTGATTCACACAGAGCAGTTCTTACAGCAGCTGTGATGCCCTGTAGGTGGCAATGCAGAGGAAGCTGACCTCTCAAGGGCTTCACTATCCCCATTAAGACTTCGATACTTCAAACTCTGTAGATACTTAATTTTCACATAAAATCCTTGAAGCAAAGAGTGGGGAGGGAAAGCTCTGACTGTGGCGGAGTCCAGGTCTCCTTTACATCATGGGCTGGGAGCAGACCTAAATATAAAGAAAAATATATGATACATACTTGTCATGTAAAGGGTTTAAAACAGAACTCCAGACAAAAGTACCAAGATAAAAATGGACAGTTAAAAGAAAAAAGCTTTTTGCAATATTGCCCTTCAATCCACAGATTTTCCTTGCAATATTTTTTTCTGTCGCTAAATGAGTTCAGTCTGATGGCCAGCATCATTCAACCCACTTCTTCAACACACTTCTAAACCAAGGTTGTTCTGGACCCATCCTTACCTGTGAGACAGGACAGTCTCTTTCTATTAGAATACTTCTTAGCACATGGAATAGATTGGTTTCTTTCTCCAACCCTCTAAACTCTGCTCTGTAGGGACTTGCAAGAGGCCAATATTCAAGTACTTCACATTGGTTGGATTAAATAAAAGATGCATTTAATGATGTATCAGGGCTTGTTCACAACAAGCCCAAAGCAGGTGCAGAGCAGATGAGTTACAGAACGGATCAAAACTGCGTCCAATGTATTGCAATGGTATTTTGGGCTCTAGTTCACACCGCAGCGTTGAGATCCAGAGCATGAAAAAAAAAAAAAACTGCAGCAAGCCCTATTTCTCCTGCTCTGGAACGCATGCAAATGCCCTGGAAAGCACTGAAAGGCCATTTTAGGCTAAAAACATTTTTTGACAAAAACGGCCCGGAACGCGTCAAAACACACTGCACTGCAAGTGCAGAAACTCATGCAGATCTGGTCTGTATTTGGTGTGAACAAGCCTTCAATGATTAAAGAACTATGAGGTGAGTGATTTTCACTCATCCTTATAGTTCTAGCCAAATTGTGACAGATGGTGGTGACAGGTACTCTTTAAGGTGATGCTGGGGGTGTCACTTTTATACTCTCAATAAGCTATTGAAGTGCAGAACGCACTTCAATAGTTTATAGCTGGGCTTCAGGAGCCCAGCACTGACAGGTATGGGACCGGAAGTGATGCAATCTGCATCACCCCCTGGTCCCATAGATTAGGTAGGGGATCGACGAACAGAGGTTCGTCCATCTCCTCCCCAGCCTCGCGCCGACACCAAAGAAGCCGGTCCTGGGCCCGTAGGAGGGGCATCGGAGCCCGGGAAACATGGCGGGGGTGTTGGGGGACCCGTTCACCGGCCCGTAGAAGCGATCTGGCAGCAGCTGAGCCGCCAGAATCGCTTCTACTGTAAAGCCGACAGTCGGCTTTACAAGTTTAAACAGAGTCGAGTCTGTTTAAACAGCCCCGATACCAGTGACTTATAGTGGTTGTGAAGGGGTTAAAAAAAACATGTTTAAACTTGAAAACACATTTGTGGAAGCCATATTCAGAAGACATTGATTCATTACCTTCATGTCTGACTCAAAAACTCTTTAGGACCCTTTTATATGTGCACCCATTTAACATTATGAAACACAAACTAGCAGATTAACTGAAATAGGCAATGCCCTTGTGCCTTTTTTTCAATTCAATGTTAAAGAAGGACTCCAGGCAAACTGAAAAAATTTGTCAGTTGTGTGTTTACCAAAGAGGTAAAAGTTGATGCATTAGCCAAAGCATTCACTATGTAAGTTTCAGTCCACACTGCAATTCAAGAGTGGTTGCAGGTGGGTAAGTTGAAGATTCTAACACCTATATGTGACTTCAACAGTCCGATCTCCTCGCTGGTGTTCCTGGTTCTCACCTGAGTCTAGACCGCAGCTGTCCGAGAGTCTGATCATCGAGGTACCGTGAAAAGTGAAGCAGAGCGGTGCCTGGAGAGCAGAGAGGCTGAGCCAGGGAGGAGGCTTGTATCTGCAGGAGGAAGTGAGTGACTTGTGCAACCAAAGGCGTCCTGAAAGATATAGGACAGCAGGTATGAAGACTGTACAAAGATAAACACTGCTTAGACTGGACAGTTACATGTTTGAAGAATAGAAAAGCCTAAAATCAGCTTTAACAAATTGAAAGGCGCACACTGCTATTGAGGAAATGCTATAACTATGCTAAAGTCAGAAAAGCAAATACTATGGGGGAAATCTGTAGTAGTTGTGCATAGTAACCAATCAGCTTCTCTCTTCAGCTTGTTCAGTTAACCACTTGCTGTCCGGAGCAATTTTTTACTATTTGCACACACCATTAAATCTTTTTTGGCTAGAAAACAGCTTCAAACCCCCAAACAATGATATATTTTCGGAAAGCAGAGGTCCTGTAGAAAAAAAAAAATGCTAGTTGCAATTTTTTTTATGTTGCACGGTCTTTGCGCAAATGTTTATCAAACAAGTATTTTTAGGATAATATACACTAAAATGAAATTTAGTGCACAGAAACAGAGTACTATTTTTTTGGTAAAATATAAAAAACGGGGTCACGTCCGGTAAATAGATACCAAACATGTGAAGCCTTAAAGTTGCAAAAAACCCAAAATTTCCCATGAGGGACACTTTATAAGCGTTTACTGCTCATCATTTTAGCGCCAACAGTGATTAATGGCTCTAGAATTATTTCTCTCACTCCGACGTTCATGGCGATATGTAAAGTGACGTGCAGCGCAAGTTTTGTTTTTGCATGTAGGCGCACCAATGCGTGTTTGCGTATGTTTGTGCGTGTATGTGGGGGGCGGGGAACTTAAAAAAAAATGCAAAACAATTTGTTTTTTTAATGTTAATTTTTACACCAACTTTATTGCCATCACATAGGGGGCTAACAAACCTCCTATGCAATAGCAGATAGGGCGTGACAGGTCCTCTTATGAAGACATCAGGGATCCCCTAATGTCACCTAGCGACCCCAAAGAAGCTGAGGAAGCAGAGATCTGCTTCCCCAGCTTCTCCTTCTAGTTCTAAGAATGTAAACAGTAACACCAAAGTGATGTAATACACATCACTTCCAGGTCCAGTGATTGGAGGAGAGATCAGCGGCTAGAAGCCTACTGATCTCTCTCTCTGATCGTTGAGGGGAGACACGCTGTGCCGGTCCCACACGGTAGACAATGGAGCCTGGGGAAGCCGGCGGACAGCGCGATCCGCCGATCGGTACAAACAGATTGCTTGTACATTAACAGCCATTGCTGGCATATCGTGGTATAACCACTTCTGTGGGCCGCTGTAAATGTACGACTACCCGCAGCAAGGGGTTAAGCTTTGAAAATGAAAACTGGAATCTATTTGGTTGCCATGCATAGCTGGTTGCATCTGCTCCACTGTCCTTAATCTGACGGTTATGTCATCTTTTACAGTCACATTGAGCTGGCTTTTCAAAAAAGCTTTTGGGCAGTATTAAAGCCTTTTGTAACATGATTCAATGTAGTGCAATCGTCATCAAAACCAAAAGGGTGGGGCTCAGAACCTTTATTTGGAGCCGAGTTTTAAATCTGGTAGACTGCTACAACTAAAGTCTTAAATTAAATACAAGGACGGTGTACAGGAACAGCTGTATTTTTTTATTTTTTTTAATAGCTGATGTAGCAGGATCACACTTCTGTTATCTAGGGGTTATGGAAAATAGGAAACACCCTAGTCTTACACAGAGGCAAAAAAAAAGCCTAAAAGGATAGGGTTTCCATTTTGTGGACAAATCCCTAGGCCTATCCTAAATCTGGTGCTAACCACTACTTTATGACATACCAGAGAGACTGATTCAGCGTTGTGGAATTTTCGGAACTCATCAGCTCCTCCGCTTTCCCCAGAATCTGGCACACCAGCGTCAGTCCAAACTAAAGCATGAAGAAGAAAGGAAGGAATCGGTTACATGGGAAAATGGAAATGTTATAAATTTCCACTTGGATATTAGATTAAAGCAACATTAAACATTCAGGTTTTTTGTCCTATTTTCTTCTGCATGGGGGCCAGACTTGCTAAAAAACAAAAATTGACATCTATGATGCAGCTTTGTTACTGGTGTTCTATATCCTGAACTGAATCAGCACGTGGCTGTGTGATACGCAAATGAGGACCATCAAAGGGTTCTTGGGGCTGGACACTGATGAATGAAGATCTGCCAGACTGTCATCTCCTGGGGCAAGCCCGACCCCCTGCTGGTATTTACTGCCCACACCTGTGTCAGCATGTATGCTGGGATGGGGGCGGCATACGTTCTTCCTATGTGATCATCTGCACTAACCTAGGTCACCAGCAGGAACAATGGTAACCTTGGTGACCTCTTGGACAAGTCAAGTCTTTCTGGACTCTACAATCAAGAATGTGATTCGCTGACGCCTGCTGGAGAGGAGTGTTCTGAGCACAGAGAAAAACCCATGGCATGTGTGACATAGAATGGTGTGGCTAGCTCAAGGATCCTAACCTTAATTCCTATACCTTCTGACCCCCTCCAAATCCCTTAATTGTAATTAGAATGTATGTATATCCTTATTTGTAAATAAACCCAACACTTATTTAAGATTCAGTTGTTCATCAGTAATTTAAAAGGTACCCCCAAAGCAGAGCACATTCTACAAAAACAATGCTCTTTTTATTTATTTGTTAAGTCCTTGTTCTCTAGTGGTATCTAGACCGCTAGCGCCACTCCCCCTGTACATGTGCTTCTATCAGCTAGCCGACTGCTGTGAAGGCGGCCGTGCCCGCATCTAGCTATGTGCGTCCCCCAACCTTGCAGTCACAGCTTGACTAAAGGCTCCTCTGTCCTCAGTAACCTGCTCCGCCACCAGGATGTTTGCGGAAGCCCAAGTAACTTCCTGGTCACGGCACAGGAGACAAGCAGCTGCGTGTGTGATGTTAGAAATGTCTTAGGTGTTTTTCTGCCTTCATGCAAAGAATGCATTAAGGGAAAAAACACCAAGCTAGGTAGGCTAGAACTATGAGGTGAGTGAAAAGCACTCACCTCATAGTTCTCCTTTAATACTAATTTAAGCCTGTGAACTCCATTATAACATTTCCTGTGCTTCTCTTCAGACAGACTGAATTTTTTAAACTTAAGACTGGATATGTTTAGCAAAACAGCTAGACTCTATATAATACCCAATATCCCAGAAAGATAAGTAAAAATATGTTAAATCTCCACAAAGCCATTACTTTTGCCATGGCCTGTATTCATATAGAGTGGTTACATTACAGAGTACACAGAGCTTTCCACATTAATCTCTGCCCCAGAGAAGCCTACCATCTAATGCATCTTTCACAATCATAAAATCATGCACAGGGTCAATTTACAGAAATTTTACTAACATTATAAAAATGTTATTTCATTTACCCAGGGGACCAAGTGCATAGAGCAGCAAAAGGATTTTTTACATTTTGGTCAGTCATTTGTGTGATGCAATGCAGTCAGTCAGGATCCTCATTCTGCTGCTTCATGTGAAAGCTAATAAGAAATCTAGGAGGCAGAATGGAGACATAGGAAGCCTATAAACCAAAAAAATGAATTGCTTACTGAGGAGATGTGTGTAACCTGTCAGGCTCTGTAGTGTGTAAAACATGTACAAATCATAAGACTGGCTGAAAAGAATGACAAAAACCTTGTCCAGTAAACAGTGTATTACCTAAAGTTTTGCAGTAAAAATAAAGTTAATTGAGGGGCACAGGAATTCAAAATCTGTTGGGTTATACCTACAGGAGGATTTGGACACTTGCAAACAAAATAAAACAGTGGCCAGCCCATTATAAACCCCACCTACTCCCAACATGCCTCAGTTTGGTGGAAAAGCAGTACCAGGAGTATGATCGGTTTCCGTTCACACCTTGGCGCCAGCGTTTTTGCACATATTAGCACACGTTTTGTTTAGCGTAACACCTAGCAGGTTATGCTAATTTTTACACGCAATACAAGCGCATATGCAAAGATTCGTGTTTTATTGAGCAAATTAAAATGCACGGTGGTAACATGCACACAAACGCGTAAACACGTGCAGACCGATGGTGTTGCACGTTTCCATTGACGTCTATGCAGCCACGTGCTGTGAAATGCCTGAAACAAAAGCTCATGTACCTTTTCCAGCTTTCTACAGCTTGCAACAAAACTCTCAGGTTTGAACAGGGGCCATAGAAATGAATAGGATTTCTTGTGTTGAGAGCTTTGTCGCACTTATCTTTGAGCGTCAAAACACCTAGGTGTGAGCAGGGACTAAGACACGGTGCGGTGCGGTGGGACCCGTTTCCCTCAATGAACTCAAAAAAATGGATTTCACAGTAAGCACAAAAATCCCATTTTCTTTCTCGTTCATCGAGGAACACAGGAATTCAGAGACTGTTAGGATGTCTAAAAGCAGTCAAACTGGGTGGTGGGCAACAGCAACAAAACGCTAACAGGTCCACATGAAACAGAGAATGGGGACTGCAACTCATCTTAAGGATCTTACACCCAAAGCTGGCATAAGATGAGGCCTGAACATCCACCTCCATAGATAACGTGTGAACAGAAGACCAAGTGGTAGCCTTGCAAATCTGGAAAACAGATGTTTGGGGCCAAAAACATCCAAGAGACCCTCAAAAGATCATGAAGCATTTGACTTGACAGGAAAGGGTGGAACCCGATCATTAAGACCAGGGGTCTCAAACTCGGGGGCCACTCTAACAATTAATTTTTTCTCCCATGGTGGCCGCATGCCAAATTTCATACTTTAGAATAAAATGTAACTATATCCGGTATGGTACTATGGACCCCAATACACACACACACAAAATACGGCCCCATTCATATCTGGAGGGATTCCTGCATCAGAAACTTGCGTTTTCATGCAACAGGAATCCCAAATCAGGTATTTACAAGTGGCTGCTGTCACCCATTGAAGTTAATGATCAGGTGAGAGCAGCTGCATGTAAACGCCTGCACACTGCATGTAAATGGTATGTGTTATCATTACATGCGGTTCGAGAAAAAACTCCCTGGATGCACAATTGATGCCTCCAGGGAGTGATTGATTCCTAACCAAATGTAATCATATCACATACGATTACATGCAGCTGCGTCCACATGAATCCACATGTCACTCGCAGTTTGGAGCAGTGACGGGAAGATATTTATGCCGTCAGGAAAAAGAGCAGAGCAAGCGACACTCCAACCATCAGATGTGGTCAGTGCTTAGTCCCACATCGTTAACCCCTCCTAAGGAAAGTGGGGATTGTTATTGGTGCCCAAGAGCCATAGTAGCTCACCTCCTCTGCCCACATGGCCTGCTCTCAATGCGAGTCTTCAGAGACAGGGTCACACTTGGGGCTGTGCCAAGGCTCTGGACCTGGAAAGCTCTCTGCGGCTAACACAATACACTCAAAGCCACAAAGAAAAGTCCAGTGGTTGAAGGACACATTCAAAACCAGCCCCACAATCGTCTAGTTCAGCAGGGCCCAGGTACGGCCTCCAAAGTTATTGCTTTTTTCTGACCGGACCGCAGGCATTGAGGTGCCTTGCGTTCCCGTGCGGCCGATCGCATTGCAGCCGGAGGGCATAGCTTCGGTGCCCGTCACTTCAATGGACCGCCACGCCCCCCCGGCCACACAAGAAAGTGAGACGGCCGCAATGCGACCCAGGGCGTTACGGCCAAAATCGGGGCAGAACGCACTCTGGTGTGAACAGATTTCAGCAAGCTGATGAATGCCAGTTGAGCCCATATTCCATTCACTTTGTTGGTGGATCCTGGAAGGAGCAGAGCTTTAAAGGCCTCCCTTCCACCCAACAGGTTACCACTGCAACAATTTTAGAAAGGAAAAAAAAATCTCTATGCTCTAAATACTTGTCTATGTCCAAAGTCACATGATGCACGGGGTCACGAGGCTTCTCTTTTAGACCACAGAGTGGGAATAAGTCCTTCTTTAGGTGTCCATGTTACTGCTTCGTGATGTGGACACTGCTCATTGGCTGTCCATTGGTGGGGTCCTCACAGGTCATGAAGACTCCAGTGGTGGAATGCCAAGGAAAGACATTGGCGAGGGACACGTGACAGTCAAGTAAAAAATTTGAAGGGCTTTAATCTTTTTTTTTTGCCGCAAATTGAGCATTAAAATAACCGCATCAGAAGCTCAGCCACTCACCTTGTTTTGTAAGACAGATAACAGCTGCTGCGAGGAAGTGTTTCCAGAGCCACAAACACTCTGTAAGAGGGAAGTGAGAGCAGTAGCAGACAGCTGGCTAATCACAAGGGCACAGGGGCTAACCAGGCAGGGAAGTATCTGCAGAGATGAAAGACATTTTAGTAAGTATACTGCAGGGAGGGAAATGCGCAGCTGGAGATTTCTCCTTAGTGTAGCATATTCATTACCTGGTCTTGATAATCCTTCTTGATGAGAAAAGGCAAGCTCTGTGCAGTGGTGGACAGTAAAGCTATGCTTAGCTGAAGTGGCAACAAGCGAATGATCCGAGCCACAAGGCGCTTTCCCTTTCTAATGCACATGATCTGGACAAACTGCTCCTCGGCTGCCCTGTAGGCAAAAAGAAAAAACAGCTGTCATTTAGCTAGAAGAGTAGGACAGTTTTTGAACCTCCATGGCAAGTGCTCAAATGTTACTTTTCAAAGAAAAACTTAAGAAAACATTTCCCCCTTCAAGGCAACTAGTTACATTGATTGAAAAAAAACTTTGCCCAACTTTTTTTTTTCTTCCCATCATTACCGCTTTCTGCACTGTTACGATCCCCATCCTGATTCCCACAATGCTAAGCCCAGTGCCTGGAAAAAAAATCTTTAGGGGGGCCTGGGCATTGCCACTTGGGATGCACAGTGGACGCTTACTGCTTGCCTCATCTTCAGTATTTGCATTTGAGTCTCCCAAGGCAGGCGGAAGGGCCTCCCTACCAATGCACACTAACATTTCCTTCACTCTCCTGAAGCTCTTTTAAGCGGCTTTTTAGGTGCAAACAAAAAAAACCCAGGTATGAAGCAGTTAAGTGAGCAGACTGGGACCACCAAAGCCAGTGCCGTTACGTGGAGAGAGCCCAATGCCTGTTTAAGCTAGGACTTGAGCAACTTGTAAGCTTAAACAGGGCAGCTGATAGAGCAGCAAAGAAAAAAAGTCTGTGGTGTTGAGAGAGGGGATCAAAGTTCTGCTGCTTTTTTTCTTCATGTACCACAGCACAGGTTTACTTTAAACCGAGGGGAATACATGGGCCTCTTTTATATCCTTGCACATCAAGCTTCTATTACTTGTAAATCTGTAGACAGACACACACACAGTACTGTGCAAACATTTTAGGCAGGTGTGAAAAAATGCTGTTAAGAATGCTTTCAGAAATAAGTGTTACTAGTTTATTTTTATTAACAAAATTGAAGTAAATGAACAGAAGATAAATCCAATCAATATTTGGTGCAGCCATCCTTTGCCTTCAAAACAGCATCAATTCTACTATTTACACTTCTACAGTTTTTGAGGGAACTTTTTTTGGCTGTAGCAAGAGGCAGTTTGTTCACTGAAGGCCTGGAGAGTAGTACAATAATGAGTGCCTGCAGGCAACAATAAAGCATAGTGGAGGTTCCTTGCAGGTCTGGGGCTGCATTTCTGCCAGTGGAGTTGGAGATTTGGTCAGGATCAATGGTGGTCGCAATGCTGACAAATACAAGCAGATACTTATCCATCATGCCATCAGGGAGGCGAGTGATTGGTCCCAAATGTATTCTGCAGCAGGACAACAACCCCAAACGTACAGTCAATGTCATTAAAAACTATCTACGGCGTAAAGAAGAACAAGGAGAATCCTGGAAGTGATTATTTGGCCCCCACAGAGCCCTAATCTCAGCATCATCGAGTCTGTCTGGGATTACACAAAGAGACCGAAGGAGTTGAGGCAGCCCACATCCACAGAAGATCTGTGGCTAGTTTTATTGGCCGGGAAGACGACGTCATGCTCCCTCGTCATCTCATGAATCATGATGTTAAGAAAGTGACCTTAAAGCATTAGTTTGTATTGCTTTAGAAAAAAATTTGACCTGTCCCTTTAAGAAAAAGTATGGGTAATTGGTATCCGATTTGTTCCCAGTTGCTTCCACTTTGTTATAATAACACTAACAATTGACCGTGGAATATTTAGGAGCAAGGAAATTTCACAGAAACACCTAAATCCAATGATTTGGAGGGTGTCCCAATACTTTGTGTAGTGTGTGTGTGTGGGTGGTGTGTGTGTGTGGTGTGTGTGTGTGGTGTGTGTGTGTGGTGTGTGTGTG